CCCCCCTCTCATGTGCTCTCTCTCTCTCTCACTCTCTCTCTCAAATAAATAAAATCTTTAAAAAAAAAAAAATCCTAAAGAAGAAATTCCACAAGTACTTACTTCAGTTGTTGTAATATTTAAATTTCCTAGCCATTAAGAAGTTCCTCTTTGTATCTTACCTAAATACAGAACTCTTTGTTGTATTTCTGAGTCATCTCTGAAAATCAAGGTCAATTGGTCATGGTGTCAGTTTCACATTAATTAATGAATCCCTGCTTAATATAAAGTCATTTTGAAAAGCTTCCAGCTGCATTCTATGAGGATGGATCTAAAACTTGTTTAGTGTCTTTTCTCCAGATTTCCATGAAAAAAAATTACCTTTTCAAAGTTGTTATCCTTCTTTACTGGCCCAATCAGAATAAAGACGGCATTCAGCCTAGGCGCCTTCATACTTTCAGAAGCAGTTTTTCTTAGATTAGGATCAGCAGTCTCTTTCAGCCTGAGTACCATCAGAAAGTGTAACCAAGTGACATCCAAGAGGAGAGAAGAAAGAGCAAGTAAGGGGAGAGGAAAAGAAGCTGGCTGTCACTGGAAGAATGAGGAAGGGAAGATCAAAGAAAGATGGAAAGAGAAATGGGGAGCACAAGAAGTGGACTCAGCAGTGCTAGAAGAAAACCCACAGTAATGTCGGCTGCCGGTCGGTGCCTCCCGGAGCAGATAGCAAGCCGAGGGAGGAGGAGGAGGTCATTGGCATTTAGTGCCTACTTGGTTCTCTTGCTCCTGCCTGGGTTGCCTTGCTCACATTGGGGCCCATCCACATTTGAAGCAGTGTGTTGGTCATTATCTACCTGTTAAAGACTCTGGCAGAAAATTGTGAGGGCTTTCAAAGCAGCATAAAACCAATGAACCTCATTCCTAGATTCCTTAGTTGAGCAAGTTCACAGAAACCAGTAAAGGAATACACCTTGTCTGTCTCATGAAGGGCCTCTGAAACTTTTCTACCCAAGTACTTCTGTCTGTAGAGGTGATATGAAATGGCTACCCTAGGGGACAAGTGAAATGTGATCCTGAAGTTTCTCCAGAAGTCTTTTTATCTTGTAAATCTATGCAAATTTTATATTCTGGTCCATAATAGATCTGTTTCCTTTACTAGTAAAACAATATCCCACTCACTCCCACAAATATGAAAATCTTTGATGCTCAGGAACATGGACTGTGCTAACCTGGTAGCTTCAAGGACCACACAGCCCTCCCTTTACCCCAGCAGTGATACATTTCACCTGGTGCACATTCCCAGCAGTGATAACGGGAGAACAGGCATAACATGTAGCCTTTGAGGGGCTAGACTACACTGGGGATGACACCGTGGATCTTTCACTGAATAAAACAGTGCCTTTATAAATTATGTTAGCCATTGATTATCTTACATAGACTTCCCTCAGCAGCCCTCTGCTCAATTCTAATAGGAAACTTGGGGGGTGGCTCTAGTCTAGAGCTCCTCAGGGCATGTTGTTAGACCCTATAAAACATCTCATTAATTTTCACAATTTTCTCTGAGCTGACTGGGTCAGATGTTCCTCTTTCTTGGGCACACAAACGCAATATTCTTTCTCCTCTGAAGGCATCCTACCTAAGTAGGGTCTCCATAAGGTTGCTTGGGAATTTTAAATAATTCATGTAAAATGTTAAATAGTTCCTTACATATTGGAAGCTGTCAATAAATGTTAGCTGCTGGCTTATTGTTGCAACTCTCATTGCAATGCGTGCCTAGTGTGAGCAAAGCAGTAGTCCTACATGGAGAATGAGAGACTTCATGGCTGGTCAGTCCTTTTGGGTCTTGAGCTGTGAACTGATTTCTCCTTCATGACACTAAGAAATATGTGCTTATTACTATATGAGTAAAGAAAATAGAATAACAAATTCTTGAGCAAAAAGATACTAAAAAAATAAAACCATTAACTATGCTAGTGGGAAAACTTGATCTTAGTTTCACGTGATTTAGCAATGTGGCCAGGTAATGGAGTTCCGTGGAGGAACAGGGCCTAGCATGGTACCTAGTTTGTGCTGCTTATGTATGTTGGTTGAATGAATATGATAGGCTGAAACCTGAATATATACATCCTGAATAAGCAAGGCATTTAAGTGTTATTTAATGCTCAGTGAGAAGCCATTTCAGAATTTTGAAACAGGGAAATGATGTAATCCATTGCTTGGTTTAGACTGGAAGGAAATATGCAGGAAGTTATATTTGATGACTGGACTATGGTCAGTTTTTTTTTACTTTTCTGAAGTTTCTAAGAACTTAGACCCTTCCTAAGGTTTTTTAGAGCACACTTCCGAAGGTGACAGTGCCTCTCTGTGGGGAGGTTAGGAAGGCGGTGAGGGCAGTGAATTTGAATCTGGGAAGGGCAGCATAAGTACTTTGAATGAGAGCTCCCAAAGAGTTGTCCTTCAAGAGAATCACTATTTTAGGAAATCCTTGAGTATAAAGTCATAGAAGTTGGAGCTAAATTTAACCGAGAGGCCCTCAGGTGTAACCCTTTTACAATCCTCTGTTACAGATGAGATCCAGTGGATTCCTCAGGGCCCTTCACCCAAGCTTCCTGGTTTCCAGTCCCCGTTGCGCTCTCATATATAATACATTTATGTTTGTGGGGAAAGGGTGGAGGCAGACTCTTAGGGAAGATTGGCCAGCATAGCTTCATCTTCCTGCTCCAGCACACCTGAATGTTTTCCTGTCTTCTTGCTATCTGTTTAAAATGTGCCACCTAGCTATTCATGTAGGTTCATAAGTATAAGGATGAAAATAAACATCTCATCCCCTCAGAGGCAAATCACTAAAATATTTTGTCATCTTTTCTCACCAGTCTTTTTTTTTAAATACGTATTTCTAAAATTAGAATTCTCTTGTTTTATACCTTGTTTTTTAAATTTAATATACCCATTTACTTATATACTTAAACTTTATATGAGTACATCATTTAAAATGCTTATGTAGTGGGGCGCCTGGGTGGCTCAGTTGGTTAAGCGACTGCCTTCGGCTCAGGTCATGATCCTGGAGTCCCGGGATCGAGTCCCACATCGGGCTCCCTGCTCAGCGGGGAGTCTGCTTCTCCCTCTGACCCTCTTCCCTCTCTGACCCTCTTCCCTCTTGTGCTTTCTATCTCTCATTCTCTCTCTCTCTCAAATAAATAAATAAAATCTTTAAAAAAAATAAAAAAAATGCTTATGTAGTAATATTCCATCATATTGATATGTGTGTGTGTACACACACTGGTACATACATACACACACATATATACAAGTATATATACAATGTATATATAATTAAATCTCTATCGTTAGGTCTCAGTTTTTCTTTTTTTTTTTTTTTAAGATTTTATTTATTTATTTGACAGAGAGAGACAAAGTAAGAGAGGGAACACAAGCAGGGGAGTGGGAGAGGGAGAAGCAGGCTTCCCGTGGAGCAGGGAGCCCGATGTGGGGCTCGATCCCAGGACCCCGGGATCATGACCTGAGCCGAAGGCAGACGCTTAACAACTGAGCCACCCAGGTGCCCCAGGTCTCAGTTTTTCAAATAAGCTGCTACTTTCTAAACGCACATGACTTTAGCAGGCTTAGGAGACTTTTGGGTACTCACACAGTAGTTTGAGTGGTTGAAAATCTATGTTTTCTTTTTACCACCTGGCTGAGAGCAGCCCGTTAAGAGAATGGAGGTTGTGATTTGGCCTAGAGCACATCCCGGGAGGAAAGACTGGGTGGGTGCTAGTGTGGAGGGTTGTAGTTCTTCACGGGCTGCTTGAGTTCCAGAAGAGGGTAGGTACCGGGTTATGGAAGGTGATACCGAGTAGGAGGAATTTCAGTATTTTCAGAGGAATGGCTCTGTTTTCTTTTTCTGGTCCACATGACCTTTGTTCCAAGGCTTAAAGCTCAGGCTGTTTTCTGACTTTTGTGGTTCTTCTATGCAGTAGATTTACGAAGTATTGGTTAAAAGGTTGGGCACTTGAGCACCACTTCAGTTATTTCCAATTTCCGACCTAACTACTTAAAAACTTTTTCACATTATTTTTATGAGTCGTGGGTTACCCTGCACCCAAGTATTAAGTGTGTTGTGTCAGCCAAATGGAAGTGAAAGGGTAGACATTGACAGGCTTAGTGACTAATCACATGTCATTAGGAAAGGACAAGAAGGCATTGAATAGATGTAAGGGCTAAAAGCCTCAGAACTGGTAAAATGAGTGTTGCTGATTTGTGGAGAAACCTGGAAGATGACACCTGAAAACTCATATTGCATTTCGGGAACTGGTGCTGTTGAAAGATACAGGGCTAATGCAGATAAAACTGTGACTTGTAGATATTCTAAACGCCCTTATCTTAGGCAGTAGTTTCAGTTAGGGCTTGAAACAACATATCCGTTTGTACTTCTAAATATCAGAATGGGTAAATTTGCATTTCACATGCTCCTCCTTTGGTTGAAAACAATTGATTATATAGGAGAGGGATGGTATTATAAATCAGGTTTTATTTCTGCTGCTGATTTACTATATGACATTGGACAAGGCATTTCACCTCTCTGGCTTCTAATCTGTAATTAAAAGGATAATTACTGGTTTAAATAATTTTTGAAGTTCCTTCTGAACCTAGAGTCTTTATTTCTAAAACAAAAAATGACCCCTGAGGTAGTGGTTGGCTATACTTTCTTGAATTTGAAAAATTAAGCAAAATGCTGATCTGGTAGATTCCTATAACTTTTAAGTGTAGCTTCTTGAAGGTGTCCCTCTATCAACTGAAGAACAAATGTCTCAGTTTAATATATGACTGCATCAAAAAAAAAAAAAAAAAATGCAACCACAGTAGGTGACCAAAGGGGATAAGTAACTTTCAGGAATTTTGAAAGCCCAGTAGTATTTAGTATATGCTCTCTCAGCATTAAAAAGGTCACCTTGCTAATACATGTTAATTTTGAAAGTTGAATTGACCTTTGGAATTTTAATATCAACCTTTTTTGGTGTGTTTAGAGGTTGGAGCAATCACAGAAGAAACAGAAGCCTGTGATTGGTGGAGTTTGGGTGCTGTCCTCTTTGAACTTCTCACTGGCAAGGTAAGCAGTGACCTGGACGTTTAATAAGTTTACCCAGATGCTACCTTGATTTCAAATTGAGAACATTTAACCTTTGCCTTTAGTTGTTAGATCAGAGACTAAATAAGAAAACCTCTGATAAAAAAAAAAAGGCAGAAAAATGCAAGTTTATCTAGATTCCAGATTTTTTTTAAAAAGTATTACATTGGATAAATAATAAAATTCCATTATGTCATAATGTTAGTACATAGATATATGACTAAACATTCTTTTTCTTCATTTTCTATGATTCAGTTTTAACAGCATTAAATCTGTAATGTTCATGTAAGGATGTATTAGAATTCTCTGGATGTTTTAAACATCTTGTTGGAAAGCAGGAGGGGATTCTCATTTTAGAAAATTAATGTAGATATAAAAGTTAACATTACCTTTTTTCTCAATACTGTAAATTTTTCCTGTCCTAGCTTAAGGACAGAATTTATACTCTCTCTGATCAATAACTTAAGTAAGATGTTTGAGGTTAATAGACTTTAGTAGAGTATTGTGCACATTGCCTCCTGGGAAGAAAACAGAGGAAATGAGCCGTCCTACTTTTGTAAGTAGTCATCTACCTTGAATATGTAGATAATACTGAACTCTTAAGATTGTTGTGGATTATTACAGATCACCTACATGTACAATTAAATCATAAAGTGCTATAAATATATAAAGTATTATTATTAACCAATTCTAAACTTAGAAGGTTTTTCAGAACATTAAAAATTCAAGATACCAAGTCCCTTTTTAGTTTCTGTGTGTAAGGTAAACTTTTCTATTATGAGCCATTCCCTGTATAACTAAGGGAAGAGGGCTGGCAGCATAAGCTTATGATGTGATTTTGGTGATTGCCTTCATTTCAGTTAGAAGTTCTGTAGGCTCGTGGCCCTTGGCCTGAACTGCTTAGGAGACACTGTGTTGATTAATACATCTCCAGTTAAGATGGTTGTTGAGCTTTCTATACTTGCTATCCATAAATCCTGTGATAGAACAGAATATGATGTTATTTGGGATAAGAAGTGTACCTGATTGATTATTTCAGACTCTGGTTGAGTGCCATCCAGCAGGAATAAATACTCACACTACTTTGAACATGCCAGAATGTGTCTCTGAAGAGGCTCGCTCACTCATACAACAGGTAATTTAATTGACCTCTACTGGCCAAGTATATCAGCCATGCAAATTAGCAGAGTCCATAGTTATAAAACCTTAAAGATAATTAGTTTGGGGCAAGAAAGACTCATTACTAATTACAAATTCAGAACTGATACTGTGTATGGTTAGGCTTCTGCTATTATTTAAGTATTAGTGAGGTCAGAGAGAACAGTTAAAGCTTATTGGTGTTTAAGTCTTTTTTTTTTTCCCCCAAAATCCAGGCTAATGTTTCATCAATTTCATATGTTTGTGTAGGTATGAGATTTAAGTATCGTTTTTAGCTTGTCTGGAGCTGCTCCATTTCTGCTATTACATTTTGTAACCATATTGTTTTCTTTCTTTCTTTTTTTTTTTTTGACTGGATATTTTCAATCTTTAATTCATATTTAGAAACTTAGGAATAGGCTACTCAGGTTGCTGTGGAGAAAAGTGGTGTTAGAAAATCTTGCCAAGGACGCCTGGGTGGCTCAGTCGTTAAGCGTCTGCCTTTGGCTCAGGTCATGGTCCCAGAGTCCTGGGATCGAGTCCCACATCGGGCTCCCTGCTCGGCAGGAAGCCTGCTTCTCCCTCTCCCACTCCCCCCTGCTTGTGTTCCCTCTCTCGCTGTGTCTCTCTCTGTCAAATAAATAAATAAAATCTTAAAAAAAAAAAAATCTTGCCAAGTTAGATTACTCCTAGCTTCATCCACTGATGGAAGTTGAGCATTGACATCAGTTAGTGCATTTTCGGTGGCTTTAAAGAAAGAGACTATTGATAATTAAAGTTCAGTATCCCAAAGGTAGGCTTAGAACTCCACTGAGCTTCTTAAATTGATTCCTCACATTTAAAATGCTCCTCTAATTTTGAATAGTGAGTTTTGGAGAGTGTACTGAGGGTTGTCAGCATTGGGGTATGATAGACTCCCAGCAAATCAGCAGGAATTGTCAGGCCTAGGATCCTTATAGTTTTAAGAGAAACATAAAGGGAAAAGGTGATTTGAAAAAGATCAATAATTAACATTTTTGTTTCATGAAACCCGAATTATTACTTTTTTTAAGAAAGGGGGAGGGGAGAATATACGAAGAAGAGAATTACCTAGTATTCTCTTGAAGAGTGATTTGGGTTCCATTCAACAAATACATGCACAAATATATGCAAGACATAGTGCTGTAAGCTGTGAGGGTGAGACTCACAAATCACTATATCACGGACGGATTGGATCAAAGCTGTCAGAGGCTTAAAAACTACCCTGGCAAGTCAAGATAAAGAGGGGCTATAGTTGATGCAGTGATAGTATTAGGAAAGTTTTTGTGTAGTGGCTGTTATTTTGTGGAGCTCTAGAATTTTGGTGTGACAAGGTAGGATGTGGCGGAAATAGCTAGGTGGAATGAACAGCTTAAAAGAGGGAAGGAGTCCAAAAGACCCAAATTAGGAAATCAAAAGTTTGGTTTGTCTGGAGTGGAGGAGTGAATATAGGAACGAGTAATAGTATTAGATGGGTGTGGAAAGGTAAGTTGGGAGTTCTCTTACGGGGTTCTGTTATCATGATCACCAGGGAAGAGTGATCATACTTGATTCAGTTAAAAAAAAAAAAAAAAGGGTATTTGGAGTTTTTGTGCAGAAGAATGAAAGGATCAGATTTGTGCTTTAGGAAGATTAAAATTTCCCAGAGAATGTAAACATAAAGAAACATAACCAGGTTGGAAATAATGAGATGAGAATACCCTTGAGCACTTTGCAAAAGGATTAAGAGGTAATGCAAAGATATAGAACACGTTTCATTCTAATGGGAAAAAAAGGACACTACTCATTTGATTTCATCTTATTTGTTGTGGCACAACAAGATAAATTCCAAGTATTTTTTGGTAAATAACTTGAGGAAGCCTAGCAAATGCTTTTTGTTTGTTTGTTTCCCTCCTTAAAGTCCTTATTATATAAAACTGAGTATAGAATTACCTACACAATTTATAAAGGTCCGTTGCTCCTGTCTTTATTAGAAATTATGTTATGAAGGAATCTTGGCTTAAAGTTTGTTAAATTCTCCGATACAGATACTTATACAGTAAATCAGCTTTCTGTCATTGGCCTGCCTAAGGAAACTACCACTCATGTTGAGGAAACATCATCAGGAAAGGGAAAAGGGGTCTCTTGGCATGATTAGCAATTTGTCATTTTGACTTTCCTCTTCCACTACCTCACAGGTCATAGGGGTCATTTTTTAAAAAATCACAAAATGATTTATATGGAAATAATTATTCTGCTTTGGGGAGATTTCCCCCTCTTTGGTCTTTCAGCTGCTTGCTTTCTTCCTAGATTTCATAATCCCCAGTACCCATGGTTCAGTCATCTCAGTCATGTGAATGGTCCTAAAGTAGACATAGTTACATTTTAAATGCAATTAAAGGAAAGATGCTTACATTTTACAAATCCTCAGAGCATGTATATTTGTACTTCACAAATTGTGACACAATTATTTTGTTAGTTGAAAAATACTATATGAGAAAAAGACCTTCAAAACAAATTTTTGTGTCTTCATTGCTCCCAGCTTTATTGCCTGAATATTATTCAGGAGAAGGGAGGTTGCCAGTGACTATTTTGGTTTTGTCACTGGCTGCTGACACATTTGCTTAAGCAATAGAATCTTTGTGTGGTCTCTCTTGAGGCCTGGTATAGTATTTAAAATGGCAGGATAAACAAGATAGTCATGGGTAAGACAATTATACTTTTGTCTGTAGATTTATATTTACAGATTTGTAGCAAAGTCCATGAACTAATTAAATTGACTTCAGTAAAAGTCAAAATAGGAACCTTTATTGGAATTTCATAATGAGGTCATGTTTTGGAAAGAATAGGGGTGGAAAAGCCAGTTGTAACCAAGAAGAAAGAATTTTCTTTCTGTTCATATGTTTACTGAAATATTAAAAAATATGCTGTAGTTATATTTAATTCTTACCAATGTTTGATATTTTATTTTATTTTTTAAAGATTTTATTTATTTGAGAGAGAGAGAGTGAGAGACAGAGAGCACGAGAGGAAAGAGGGTCAGAGGGAGAAGCAGACTCCCTGCTGAGCAGGGAGCCCGATGCGGGACTCGATCCCGGGACTCCAGGATCATGACCTGAGCTGAAGGCAGTCGCTTAACCAACTGAGCCACCCAGGCGCCCCCAATGTTTGATATTTTAAATTTATATTAAATTGTTTTATGCCTTCCACATTTCAGTCAGTTAGACATGAGTTGTCAAATTTTGAAAATGGATTTGATACATTTAGGATACTCTTACAATGTTTGTTTTATAATAGCAGCTTTTCACTTAACACCTTTTAGCAATATCTAATATTAAAATTCTTTGAGCAGTTAGCTTTAATAAACAATAGTCATTTTGAATGCTAGATACAATAATTTCAAGTGAAAAGATTGAGTACAGCCTTTTGAAGTATATGCTTCACACCTCTTGTGTATTTGGTAATATTAAAGTGAAGTAGTAGATTCTTGGCATTTGCAAAAGATTACATACTCATGAGGCAGTATAGTGTTATGTTTAAGAGCATGGATTCTGGAGCCACAGTGCCTAAATTCACATCTTATCTTTGCTACTTTCTACTTGTATGATCTTAAATAAGTTACTTAATTTCTCTGAGTCTCTGTTTTCTCATCTGTAGAGAGAATAGAATAGTAGCTACTCATAGAGTTGTTGAGAATTAAATTAATTAAACTATGCTATGCACTTAGAATAATGCCTGGCACACAGTGAGTGTCACATAAATGTTTTATATCATTATTATTGATAGGGTAATACTGAAGGTTCATAATACATAGTAATTTGTATTTGATGAAGCATGTGTTGAATTATAGGGTTGCTAATGTAAGGGTGAGGCAACTGCTGGTGATACAGGTGAAAAGGTTGAAAAAAATAGTGGACTGGCACATAATAGGAAATCAATTGATATTTTTCATACAAGTAATTGAATTAATGAATCATAAATGAAAAAAATAGAAATAAAGGTAAAAAGAGAAGAAACAGAAGTTTTGGTTGAATACATAGAAACATTAATGTAAAGAAATAATTTAAATATTTACTATAAGAATATTCTCAAATTTTTGAATGGCTGTATAGTCATATAAGGAAGTTGGCAAATTCTCTCTTGAGAAAGGAAGTTATAACATTAGACAGAATTGGCAAAAACAACCATCTCAATGCTTTGGAAATTGATCAAAGGGATACAACAATCTGAAAAGTGTTTATACTTGAAAAACAGCCAAACTTTGGGAAAGAAGAGTGGGACTCTGTGGCAGTTTTGCCTGGGCTGCTCCCATTCTCTTTTCTCTGCTTGGTCAGGTGTGCAGTTTCTTCCAGATTGAAGCAGGCTGTGAGGACCAACCCTGAGGTTGCATGCCCGTGGATAGGAGCAGGGAACGATCCCAGTTGAAAGTAAAAACCAGGGGAGATTTGTAAGTGGCCTACATTTTTAATGTGTTCTCCTACACATCGGCAGAGGACAGAAGCTTTAGGGGCTGAGGTTTAATGTAACCTCTTTTCAGTCACAGATTGACCACTATGCTATGCACACACAGGGTGATCCCTAGGAAGTGAAGCTCAAAAATAAAAACAAGGAGAAAAGCATGGGCAGAGAGAGCAACAGTTGCTTGTTACAAAGTGTTGGGAGGAGCAGATTACAGATCTAGCTGAGATCCGGTGCCAAACCAAGAACGGACCAACCAACAGCAACGGTAACTGTCTTCTTGGGGAAGAAAGTTGGACTTGAGAGTTGCTAAAATGTCCTCCAAAATATCCTGTTTTCAGCAAATATTATATGATATACACAGAAACAAAAAAATGTGACTCATATGCAGGGAAAAAAGCAGTCAGTAGAAATTGACTCTGAATGTCCCCAGGTTGAATTAAACAGACTTCAAAGTTGTTATTATAAATATGTTCAAAGAACTAAAAGGAAACCATGTCTAAAGAATTAAAGGAAAGTATGACAACAGTGAATCAGCAAATAGAAATTCTCAATGAGATATAAATTATATTTTTTAAAAAAGAACCAAATAGAAATTCTCAAGTTGAAAAATACAATAATAACAATAATTATTGTTTCAATAATTGAAATTCACTAGGGGGAAAATTGATTAGAGCATCTCAACAGCAAATTTGAGATACATGAGGGAAGAATCAATAAACTTGAAGATAGAATGATAGAAATGAACAAATCTGGGGGGGTGGGGAGGACCAGAAAAAAGAAAAATGAACAGGGCTACACAAACCTGTAAGATAATATCAAATGTACCAGCGAGTCCCAGAAAAGGAAAGAGAGAAAGGGGGAGCAAAAGTATTTGAAAAAGTAATGGCTAAAAAACACCCTAAATGTGATGAAAAACATTGATAGGCATCCAAGAAGCTCAATGGACTTTAATTAGGAAAATACACCTAGTCATATTGTTGAAAAACAAAAACAAAGAGGAAAATCTTGAAAGCAGCTAAAGAAAAACCACTCACTTTATACAAGGAAACCTTAATGTCTGACTTCTCATCAAAAACGTTGGAAGACAGTACACACTTTCAGCTATAAAATAAATAAGTCACGGAGATGAAAAGTACCCATAGGGAATGTAGTCAGTAATATTGTAACAACACTGTGTGGTGACAAATGGTGATTATACATACTGTGGTAAGCACTGAGTAAAGCACAAATTGTTGCATCAATACGTTGTACGCCTGAAACTAATATAACATTGTATGTCAATTATACTTCAATAATAATGATCAATAATAATACCAATAGAAGACAGAAGACAGTGAAATAACATATTCAAAGTGCCGAAAGGAAGTTAACTTTCAACCAAGAATTCTATATCCAGCAAAATCATCCTTCGAAAATGAAGATGAAATAGGGGCACCTGGGTGGCTCAGTCGTTAAGCGTCTGCCTTTGGCTCGGGTCATGATCCCAGGGTCCTGAGATCGAGCCCCGCATTTGGCTCTCTGCTCAGCGGAGAGCCTGCTTCTCCCTCTCCCACTCCCCCTGCATGTGTTCCCTCTCTCGCTGTGTCTCTCTCTGTCAAATAAATAAAATCTTAATAAAAAATAAAAGGATGGTCTGAAAAAAAGAATGAAGATGAAATAAAGAAATTCCTGAGTAAAGACTGAGAGAATTCATTGCTACACTTGCCTTACAAGAAATAATTCAGGAAGTCTTTTAGGCTGAAAGGAAATGACGGTACCCACATAGTAACTTGAATCTGTAGGAGGAAATGAAGAGCACTGGAATGGTAAAATATGAGTCCATGAAAAAGACAACGAAAAAGACTATTTTTTTCATTTTTCTTCTCAACTTCTTTTAAAAGACATAAGATTGTTTGAAACTAATTATAACATGCTGTTGAGTTTATAACATACAAATGTAATATATTACATATATGACAGTAATAGACAAAAGGCGAAGGAATGGAGCTATAATAGAGCAGGGTTTCTACATTTCACTGGAATTAAGTTAGTCTTAATCTGAAGTAGATTGTGATAAATTTTATTTTTTTTTTAGAGAAGGGAGGGAGAGGGAGAGAGAGAGAATCCCAAGCAGGTTCCATGCCCAGTGTGCAGAGCCTGATGTGGGGCTTGATCCTATAACCCCAAGATCATGACCTGAGTCGAAATCAAGAGTCAGATGCTCAACCGACATAACCATAAGAGAGCTGAAGTGGCTATATTAAATTCCTGACAAAGTAGATATGAAGACAGGAGACTTATTAGAAACTAAGATATTTCATAGTGATAAAGGGTCAGTACATAGAAAGATATAACAATAAATGGATATGCTCTAATAACAGCCTTTATACATATGAAGCAAAATCTGACTGAATTGAAGGGAAAATAGATAATCCAATAATAATAAATGGAGGTTTCAATACCTCATTCTTGATAAATGATAGAAAATCAGCAAGGATACTGAGAAGACTTCAACAACATTATCCAACATCTCTGACATATATGGAACAATGATTGCAGAATACATTCTTATCACATGTACATGGAACATTCTCCAAGATAGACCATATGCTATACCACAAACAAGCTTCAATATTAAAGGGGGATTAAAATCATACAACATACTCTAATCATAACAATTTAATTAGAAATCAGAAAGCGATCTGGTGAGTCTACAAATATTCGGAAATTAAACAGCACACTTCTGCATAGCCTATGAATCTCAAAGAAGAGGTCTCAAGAGAATCTAGAAAGTATTTTTAATGGGATGAAAACACAAAATATATCAAAATTTATCAGCTGCAGCTAAATCAGTTATTGAGGAAATTTATGGCTTATAAACACCTATATCAGAAAAGAAGAGAGGTCTCAAATGAAAATCTCACCTTGAACCTTGGGAAACTAGAAAATTACTAAAAAATTCTTGTGTTATTAGAGCAAAGATAGGCATATAGATCAATGGGTTGGAATTGAGTCTCCAGAAATAAACCCTTATATTTATGGTCAGTTGATTTTCAGTAAAGGTGCTGAGAGAATTTGATGGTGAAAAAATAGTCTTTTCAACAAATGGTGCTGGGAAAATCAAATAAGTCACATGCTAAAACCAAAATGAACTAAGACCCTTACTTCATACCATATTCAAAAATTAACTCAAAATAGCTCTTAGACTTATATAGATGGGAGCTAAAACTAAAAATTGTAGAAACCATAGGAGAAAATCTTCTTGACAGGTTAGGCAAAGAGTTATTAGATATGACACCAGAAACATCCATAAAAGAAAACAGTTGATAATGTGGGCTTCATTGAAATTAAAAACTTTTATACTTCAAAAGATATCAGTAAGAAAATGAAAAGACAAGCCACAGAGTGGGAGAAAATATTTCAAATTGTGTAACTAATAGGGACTTGTATTCAGAATGTATAGAGAACTCTTATAGGGGCATCTGGCTGGCTAGGTTGGTAGAGCGTACAATTGTTGATCTTGGGGTTGTAAATTCGAGCCCCACATTGGGTGTAGGGATTACCTAAAATCAAGTCTTAAAAAAATAATTCTTATAACTCAATAAATAGACAATTCAGTATAAAAATGGGCAAAGATCCACAAAGGAAGCCCTATGAATGACTTAGAAGGCCATGAAAAGATGCTCACCGCCATTACTCACTAGGGAATACAAATTAAAATCATAAGATGCCACTAATACCCACTGAAATAGCCTGTAATCAAAAGATAGGATCAAGTATTGGTGAGGATGTAGAAAAACTGGAACTCTCATATATTGCTGGTGGGAATGTAAAATGGTGCAGCTACTTTAGAAACGTCTGGCAGTTTCTTAAGCTAAACATAAATTTGCCACATGACCCAGCAGTTCACTCCTAGAAATGTCCTTGAGAGAAATGAAGACATATGTTTACACAAAGACATATATGTGAACGTTAATAGCAGTATTACTCATTATGGCCTCAACCTGGAAAGACTACAGGCCTATTAACTGGTGAGTAGATTAACAAAATGTGTTCTATCTAAAAATTGGAATGCTATTCAGAAATAAAAGGTAACAGGCTGTTGATACCTGCTACAATATGGATGAATCTGAAAAACATTATGCTAAGTAAAAGAAGGCAACTACAAAAGGCAACATATTTTATGAGTCCATTTACATGAAATATCTAGAAAGGTCACATTTATAGAGACTAAAAGCAGATCACTGTTTGCCTAGGGCTGGGGATGGAAGTGAGGATTAAGGCAAACAGTGTGAGGAAACTTTTTAGGGTGATCACAGTGTTCTGAAACTGGATTGTGTGATGGTTGCACAACTTTTTACATTTATTTAGAATCACTGAATTGGGGGCGCCTGGGTGGCTTAGTCGTTAAGCGTCTGCCTTCGGCTCAGGTCATGATCCCAGGGTCCTGGGATTGAGCCTCGCATTGGGTTCCATGCTCCGCGGGAAGCCTGCTTCTCCCTCTCCCACTCTCCCTGCTTGTGTTCCCTCTCTCACTGTGTCTCTCGCTGTCAAATAAATAAAATCTTTAAAAAAAAAAAGAATCACTGAATTGTACACTTAACACCAGATGAATTTTATGCTATATAAATTATCCCTTAGTAAAGCTGTTAAAACAAAACATGAGGATGCACGAACGTCTCAAGACACATTTTTTCAGCATGCCCATGAAAGAAGTAACTGGATGTCTCAGATTTTGGCTCAATACCTAATTAATGTCACAATGTGCTTTGGAATAGGAAATTGATAGGTGTAACTGTCCTATTACGAGTTTGAGAGAACCAAAGTGAATTACTCAAGGTCATGTTTCAAATCAGTTGAAAAGCCATAAACTCAGATATCCCCCACCACCCCACAGCTACAGTGGTATTAGACATAGCTCCCTTTCAAGGAAATCTCATCGGTTGGCTATTAATCAAGTCCATTGTCACTAGGGTTGAATCGAGCAGTTCTTTCCTTTCATATATTTTTGTTTTCCTTTGATTCACCACTTGGATTCCTATTACTCACTAAATCCTTCCTTTGTAGCTCTTGCAGTTCAACCCTGTGGAGCGTCTTGGTGCTGGAGTTGCTGGTGTTGAAGATATCAAATCTCATCCATTTTTTACCCCTGTGGATTGGGCAGAACTGATGAGATGAGCATAAGGCAGGGTTATCAGCGCACATTCCGACCTTCTCTGTGACAGGCATCTCCAGCACGGAGGCAGCCCTGCCTCACACTCACCGATGGAGCACCGAGACATTGGAATAAAGACCTTTAGAGGAAAGGGGAAGAAAAAGGCTGAAAGAGAAAAGTTTCTTTACCGTTACTCTCTGGACAAGATATTGGCTACATTTGCAAGGGGCATTTATGTGCAAACCTTTAAATAAGATGTGATCTTTATTTTACCTGCATTTAGTGTTGCAGATGAGTTGTAAACCCAACTGAAAGAGGAATGCCCTTCAAGAACTTCCTCTGAAAGCTCCAAGTGTACATTTAAGTGTTACTTGAAAGGAGGACCTTTACATGGCAGCTAATAGTGCTTTCTGCTAAGCAAGATTGGTTTATATTATCATAATTAATATTTGCTGAATAATACACTAAAAGTGCTTCATGAATAGTGTCATCTATGGAGCTTAAAAATTGAGGAAAAAATATATACATCATGTCTGATAGAAAACATCTACCACGATGCTATATAATTAATGTATGCTGAATGTGGTTCCATATTATTTCATACTTTCAGAAGTCCACTGAGAAGAAAACGCTCACGTTGCCAACCTCGTATACTTTGTTGGTTGGTACTGCTTAGGAAGGGTTCATAGAAACACTCACTGTCTCTCTTCAACTTTATCTTTCTGCTCCCTACACCTGTTGCCTGTTCTCTCATATTCTGTTCCCTCTTCCTCCACTCGTACATATGCAACAAAAAGGGAAGGGAGTATTTATTTCCCGAATTGTATCACCTTAATAAGGACTAAGAAATCATGATTGTAAAATAAATGTGATAAAAATTGAAATCTCTCCTTCATTTATTTGCTTTTTTGCTTTGTTTTATTTTAGAAAGGCCTCTCTTTCTTTCATCTTGGAATTTTAGCAATTACTGCTGCTTCTTATGCTTAACTTGATTTTAGGGTTTTGGTTTGGTGTAGTAAGAACCAAAGGATCTCATCAAAATGGAATTGGATGGCAATCCTATTTTATTACTTAGTGACGGGATTTCCAGATCTGACCTCCTAATTTACTTGACATGATACAGAAAGAATATGAGTATTTACACCTCTCCAGACATTTGTTGTTATTTCTGTGTGTTGCTAATATAGCTCCTGCATTTGTGCCTTGTTTATAATAATTTACAAATGTTTCTAAAGCATTAATGTCTGTTTTTAAAACTTTATCCAACGAAGAAAGAATAAGTCACTTTTTCAGAGTTAGGAGCCATCAGAAATAATGAAGGTTTTCCATATATTTTAATCCTTTAAGTTTTGAGATCGTACAGGAGCCCATTCCTTCTCCAAGAGCATCTCTACAGCTTCCATCTGCTGGGAGCTAGGTCCTCCCATCAAAGTAAATGGAAGCAGAAAATGCCTTAGTGAAACAAAGGAAATGTGCAAGCATTTTTTTCTTTTTCTATTTTCCTACTTCCCCCTTTTCCTTCTGGTTCCCTTATAACCTGAACCTCAGATGAAGGACTGCAACAACACCAGGATGGGGAGCAGGTCACCAGGATCAAAGCACAATCAAGATGACATCACTCCCTGGAACTGGGTTTCAACTCACCAGCCCTCCCTGGCCTCATAACAGGAACTCGTGCAGGTGAGACTAAAGAATGACTTCCTGTGTAGGACCAGTAGGAAATCTGCAAGTACTTAGAGCTACCCGTGGCAGAGCTTCCTTCCAGAAGTGCCCTATGACATGAAAGTAGGCCTTCACAGCTAAGGTGAAGCTCCCAGCCCTGCCACGTGATTTTGGTTCCTTGGATTCAGGACAGTCATGTCGACAGATGGCTGCTGCATCAGTATGTTGACTGGTCCGTTGCTTCAGTTCCCTCTTTCTCTCTCTCTGTCTGGTTGGAACTTAATGTAAATACGTCATCCGTAATCATGGTGGACATGAATTATTATAGTAAGGAACACATAGGATATGGCTTTGGGGTGACAGACCCAAGTCTGTTTTTATTTGATGATGTATATTAAAATATTAGTATTTCTAATGCTCTGGGTGATCCTGCTTTTTTGTTTGTTGTTTTTAACTTTTATTTTTTTGAGCATATGGCCTATAGGTCCAAACATAACTTGCCACTTTATATTTTTCATGTGATTTTCTTATTGAAGTAAAACATACATAAAATTGACCATATAACCACTTTTCAGTATACAGTTTATTGGCATTGAGTACATTCCCATTTTTATCCATCACCTTTCCATTATCCCAAATTGAAACTTTGCACCCATTAAACAGTAACTTCCCATATTCTCCTTCCTCCCAGCACGTAGTAACCACTCTTCTACTTTCTGTCTCTATGAATTTGACTCTTCTAGGTCTCTCATATAAGTGGAATCCTATAATATTTGTCCTTTTGTGTCTGGCTTATTTCACTTAATGTAATGTTTTCAAGGTTCATCCATACTGTAGCATATATCAGAATTTAATTCCTTTTTAAAGGCTGGATAATATTCCACTGTATGTAGAGACCCCATTTTGTTTAGCCATTCATCTGTCATTGGACATTTGGGTGTTTCCTACCTTTTGGTTTTTATGAACATGGATGTATAAACATCTGTTCAAGTCCCTACTCTGATTTGATTTTATATTTTTATATGAAATTACCAGTGTCACTGACTATTATTTTACGGTGCTCTTTATTAAGAGAGCTTTTCCACCAGGTGGTCAGTAACATGGTGGTATAATGCCACCTATCGTAAGAAAGGGTATGAAAGTCATTTCTATTTCATAGAAACAGAGTTGAGCTCCCTACGAGTAAAAAAGAATGCTATTATTTTATCTTTCTTTCTTTTCTTTTTCTTTTCTTCTTCTTTCTTTCTTTTCTTTTTTTCAAGATTTTATTTAATTATTTGACAGAGAGAGAGCACAAGCAGGGGGAGTGGCAGGCAAAGGGAGAAGCAGGCTCCCGGCTGAGCAGGGAGCCCGATGTGGGACTTGATCCCAGGACCCCGGGATCATGACCCGAGCTGAAGGCAGTTGCTTCAACTGAGCCACCCAGGTCCCCAAGAATGCCATTATTTTAGCAATTTACCATTACATGGGTTAAGACTTTTTGAGACGTAGAACTTTTCAACTTATTTGTTATAATAACTGAACTCTTGAAAACATATTTAAACCTGCCTTTTAAACATATTAAAACAGCTACAAATTCTGTTGTATTTTGACCCTCAAGTTTTTTCTATCCTGTCTTATTTCAGTCATTGTGAACCATGATTGAGTTTTGCTTTCATATAATGCATGTACTGAAGAGTATAAAATTTATAAACAATACTTACGCTATGGCCAAAAACACTGTGTTAGGACCCCATACCTAATATGGCTTTGTTGAATTCAGTTGCCCATATTTATGAGTCCAAGCAGAAAGAAATCTGACTATAGTACTGAAAGGCTCTTTGCTTTAGCAAGTGACCCCTTATAGGATCTTTATTGGACTCACTTAGGGCATGCTTCATAGCAAAGGCCAAGGCATAAGCTGGATCATTTTTCTTCTTAAGAGTAGTTGATTTAACCTCTGGTATAGCTAAAGCTCTGGAAAATGAAGCCTCATATTTCAAGCTCTTTCTTTGAGGATTGTGGAAAATAATAGCAAGTCTTTGAGTGGTGTCCTGGTCCTAGCTCTGTGAGTAAACTAGCATTTTACCTTAATAGAATAACAATATTCTAGACCTATTCCCTTACCTATTGAATGAAGTAGTAGATGAGTTCTAAGCTCCACAGCATATGATGGACTTTCTATTTTTCAGAGTGAACTGAAATTTGATAAACCTTGTAGGAAGACAAGGTTAGTGAAAATCTTAAATTGCTACTTAACTGTTTTCTTATAATTTTTTTTTTTTCTAGTAATACCAGATACTTGGGTTGCTGCCATGTACTGGCTCAGCAGCATAGCCCTTAGTGGTTATGTGGCTATAAAAATTATAAATAGAATGAAATATTAAAAGGTTATTTCTCAGTCAGCTCTACACTGGAAAAGGAGAGTTGAAGGTCCAGAGAGAAGCACAGGGAGGTGAAAGGAGGTTAGGACACACCTACCTCTGCTCACTTCTTAGACCTTTCTCAACAGCTGTGGTGGTATTTCTGCCCCTCTTGCCCTCATCTATCATATGGTATGTGTTTATTTGACTCAGTTCTTTGGCAGGCATAATCAGAGCACAAAATTGATACTTTCTGTTCCTATTTAATGCAGACATTAACCTCTACCAGTCTAGGTAATTTGGACTTTTTTGAGTATTTGATGTCTCCTCAGCTCATTTTAAGGATTTCATATTAAGTCCTTATGCTGAAGGGTTCCTAAATGGCAAAAGCTGTGAAGTCAGCTCTTTCTAAATAAAGTTGTAAACATAATAGCAGCGGGGAAATGGGAAGCAAAGTACTACAGGTTTTTGTGATTGGCCATCACTTACTTTCTCAAGGACAGTAATTAGGAAGCTGGAGAACAAGCTTCCTCTTTGGAAAGATTTACAACAGTGGTGACATAGAGTCAGATGGAATGGCTTCGCATTTTTTTGTCCCAATCACATGACTTCTTCCCTGAATCCAGGTATCTCACCTCAGGGAGAAAGAGAGGCAGAGAAAATTTGTGGAGGTGTAAGAGAGTGACTTGAAGGAGGTGGTCTATGGAAGTGAAGCAGGGCACTCGTCAGGTGTGCTGGCCCAATTGTCTGGAGCAATAGAGAGCCTGCTTTGTTGAGCTAGATTTAAAGGGCAATTCTTTGTTCTTCTCCCAGGAAGAGGTAGGCAGAAACTGAAACTCCTCCTATTCCAGGAAGAGAGATCCGAACTGCCTTTTTGGAAAAGGATTAAATGACAAGCTTATCAGAGTCTCTTCTATCTCCATCTCCTTGCTGAAGACAGCTGCTATGGCTGGTAGTAAAGGAAGAGACCCTGAGTGTCTGCAAAGAGCTACTGTGATTTCTTTTGGGCAGGAATACCTCCTACTGAATGTTGTGAGAAAGAATGACAAACAAACCAGCTTTTGGTCACACTTAAGAGTTGCTGCTATCCTGTTTTTGTAAACTCCAAAGAAATTTCATCAAAAAGGTAACCCTTCTAGTCATGTTCACCAAATTCCTCCTAAAGTTAATCCACAAGGCAGGAGTTTGACCAACCCCACCGGAAAAGACAAAGGTCAAGGGATTCTAGTCTGTTTCAGTGATAATGATTGCAGTGTGAGGTTGCCTTTTTCATGCGGGAGATATACATGAAATTGACTCGAGAGTGACAGAAAACAAGAAGAAAAGGGGCTGTGGTGTTGGCAAAACAAAAGAAAACTCATGTAACTATTCAGTCTCTTGGGATTGTCCTGGAGAGAAAATGTGTTAAATATTTGAAGAATCTGTCTTCAGTTAAAAAGATTCTGAATAAGACAACTTTAAAACTGAGTTTCCCCCCTCACCATGCCGTCCTACCGTTTGCTCATTTCTTCCTTTTTCTCTCTTCATCTCCTCTTCATCTACCCTTCTTCCCTGTTCTGGACTTCTCTGGTCACTGAACAAAAGACATGGTGCCTATCTTCAAGGACCTTGTAAAGCCCAGGGAAAAGAAAGCATAAATAATAAGTAGGGCAGATTGTTGTAAGTGTTCTAGGGAACAAATAGAGTATGGTGAACACACAGAGGAGAGATCTGAGGAACTGCAGGGAAGCTTCTTGTATTGGAACAGTAGCCTGAAGTTTGAATAGTATTTTTAAACGTGAAGATTTAAAAAAAAAAAAAAAGATTTTGTTTGGGGAGAAGGAAGAATTCCAGGGGAGCAAAAAACAAAACAAAACAAAAAAATCACACACACACAATTG